AGCACAAAACACAGAGGCAGGGCTTTTGAAACTGAATGAAAGTCATTTTTAAGGGCTACTGAAAAAAAACAGCTTCCAGGAGTTTTTTGCCATCATCCTAAATGAACTGCGCAATACCTGGGGGAGAGTAGAGAGGAAGAGTAAATGCAGGTAAGAAATTAAATAAAGCCTTCTGACAAGCAAATGAATTCTACCTAAATGTATATAACTTCTGTAATCCCACACCTATGCCGGTGAGGGAAGAGGGGGAATGTGGACATGAAAGCAATAGAACATAAAATGGCTGCATCAGTGTTTGCTTGTCATTCATAAACTCTAAATTTTAACAAGCTCATTTGCGAAGTAAGGCTTGGTAGACCTCTTTGACAGCAAACCCCTAAACAGAAAAGCAACTGAAAAAATCCAATCACACATGGTCACACTTAGAACTCTATACCACAGAGCTAACCAGGTAACGTTGGCCTGTTTTTTTGTCAGAAAGCACAAGTCATCTAACCGCATCAATACATAAATGTCAAGCATGTGTACTATATTTTCTCCTATTGTTTGCTCTGGAATAAATCAATACTGCACCATTGCTCAGTGCCATATTCATAATATCACGCAATGCAAATCCCCCCAGGGGTCTTTTGTGCAATACTGAGCTTGTCGTTTTTCACAATTTAGTCCAAAGCATATGAAATTACCCACAATGCTCTAATGTGAATGTGTGGTCTCTCCAACCCCCCACCAAAAAAAGGCACAAAATAGCTCTTTTGTCTTAAAAGAAGCTGTCAGCTATACATGCAGACAGTATAAAGGACGATATCTCTGCTGTGATTTTCTATTTGACGGGTTCATGTGCAGAGACATATAGCAGTGTGTAAATGTAGACATTTGAGTGCTTTTTCTTTATTTAATTTCCTTAGGGATTTTTTGCTCCTCCAAAGTAATAATAAACCAACTAGAAGAAAATCCACATTTTCCCTTGTATTTCCATAAATACTGTCCATCACACAATGTTTTAATTTTAGATACAGAATCAGCACTGAATGCATTGCAGCACTTCCTATATGAAAATGTTATTTGATAGCTGCTGAGTTCCCACTCCTGTGTGCACAACATTCTCTTGTGTATATCTGCTGCGGATATAAATCATACTCTCTTTGGATTTGTTTGAGGCCCTCCATTTGTGCAATACAAACTGAACACTCTCTCTTTGTCATGTAACTATGCCATTATATTGTTATGGGGAATATAGTAGTGCTTCTGATGCAGCGGGGGTTGCCTAAAGCAAACGTGTGACGGTAATCACCCCATAGGTATTCGCTCAACACACTCCATGCCCTGATGGCTGACTGCCTGTTTCAAGCCCAGTGCCTGGGGAAGCTGCAGAAATGACCTCTTGGGGAGCTCTGGGGCTCCCTGAGGTATTTTCCTCCCAGCACAGATGCCAAAGCATTGCTTTACTACCGTGTTTTATCATGATTTACTGCTGTAATCTGCAATAATACAGACAAAATCCCAAAGCAAGCAGTTTCGCGGACGGGGCGCTATCTCAGTCAAACACACAAATCAGAGTGGACACTCTCTCACAGCAATAAGTGCACTAGGATGAATATTTAGAAAGAGGCTGGGATAGCCAAATGGAAAAATAGTCACGGTGCCTTTACAAGGGTATCGCTTCAGGGGGGAGGAAAGAGCCACCAGTACAGTACTTATGCCGCAGCCCCCCACCCCAAAAAACCCTCTTGTGTAAGTAAATGTGTATATGGTTTGAACTTTGTTACAAACTGTTGAGTCAGCCTATTATTGCACCGTACCCAATACACACATTTACTATCACATAGTTTTGTGGTAGCCAAAATAAATACTGTAAATACAGGATGTGCTGTCTGCTGCTTTCTTAGCAGCAAATCCTTTATCCATAACAGCCCATATCAACCTGCCATTTCAGCTTAGGTTTTTGCCATCTGTGTTTACTATTTTAAAACAGGTCAGAGTATTATCCATAATCAGGGCCCGAGGGCCCACCTTCAATGTTCCAGGTGACCCGAACGTTTTTGATACGCCCACACAGCCCTGCTTCTTCTCCTGCATGGTTATTTGTGCCATGTCACCCTCAGACCTTGGCATGCATGGACAGCAGTCGTGTCGTCATCATAAACTGATGATAAGGCTGATGATATTCCTACACAGGAATCAGGAACTCGGAGTCATAAGATTTTACAGACTTTCTCACCCTCTGACTACACCCCACAGAGTGCTGGGACCTCCAAAGGATTCTGGTCTGTCGACTGTAGCACAATATAAACTGCCAGATGTGGATGCTGTTGTGAGTAAGTCTAGCATTTACTTTCAAGCATGGACATTTTCTCTACAGTGAGTATTGTGAGCATGACTGCCTACAGCAATGTAGTGCCTTTGACATTAATATGGCTTAAGATTCAAGTGCTAATCCAAAACAAATTTTCTGAAGTCTGAAAAAAAATATTTCCATAAAGTCTGGCCAGTGACATGAACCCAAGCCCTCGTAGCAGGCCCCCCTTGTGGGCACGGAGGGCTGCCGACACACCGTTCGGTCTCAGCGCGTCTGTCACCACGGCCTGCCGGTTCCCATCATGTAAGGCGGACAGGGTCCGCTTTTTTATGTCCTCCCATCAAGGAGGAACCCGTCACCCTCCCAGTCATGTCACCCGTGATCCTTGTCTAGTCACATTAATTATTCACCCTCCATGAAGTAAGCCCTGCCAAGGGTGGAAGCAGAGCACTGAAAAGACACGTGCTGTTCACAGTACCCTCCACAACACAGAGAGGCCGTGCCTGTCTTTGTGCGGCTGCCCCCTTTGCACTTTACACCCTGTGCAGGGGTTTGGATCACTCCAAGTCCTGTTAACACGTGAAGGACCTATAGGAATATTGCACAGGATGCGATACAAATGGAAGCATGGTTCACCATCTGGCATTCGCGGTCCCGAAGAGGAACGTTTTAGAGGTTGACTGAAAGCTGTGCAGTTTCAGTATCTGACAAACAGAAAAATGTTATTTTCAAGATAATTGGAATTATATGATAATAGGCTTGAACAAAGTTCAAATTCAGTAAATCACTGAATTACTGCACTCCAATAAAGTAGGACTTAATGTGAATATGTACATTGCATTTAATCCCTGGCTAAAATAAAAATGAGGACATCTTTTTATCTTATATTTACTTTTTTGAAGTTACCCTAAGGCATATTACCAGTGCAGAGAAATTGCTTAGGGTAAGTTAGAGAGTTAGTAAGGCAAGCTCAAACAGTGAAGGAGTCATTCCTTTAAGCACAACACTGTCATTAGCAAGCAGTCCTAACATGTATTCAGCCACACCAGTGGTTGTTAGTAATTTTCCTCAAGCCTTTTGTACCTAAATAAACATTAAATACTTTCTCCCACAATGCAAGAATGCTCTCCTGTACTGATGAATTGGGGTGCTAGGTATGCCCTCTACAAAGATACAAGTTGGTAAAGAGCGCAAAAAATGAACCCTTTACCATGAGACATGACATATGAGGTATTTCTTCTTCAAAATGTCTTAATTTTATATGCTTACTATTAATCATACAATTCTTTAAAGTGCTTTTAAAAGCCCTGTTATGCTCCATGACTGAATAATTACCTGACTTGTGTGAGATGGACAGACCAGTCAGGAGTGGCCCATCTTGGTTCATTTGACTGCAACGCCCTGCGTATTAAAACACAGCCTTTCTGCTATGGAACATTCAGAGCAGAAAGGTTACAGAGGAGGAGTCAACTGTAAATTATAACTAATTACAGCTACTCCAAGTTGAATTTGAGCACTCTCCAGTCACAGACTCCCAAATGAAAATTGCAGTCAAAGGACTGACTTTGCACTTAAGTCCAAGTTCAATGTGCAGTTAAGCAGAAATTTAACGCAACACACACACACACACACACACACACACACACACACACACACACACACACACACACACACACACACACACACACACACACACACACACTCTGTGTGTCTGTGTGTACCTTTTTGTAAGAATGTTCAATGGGAGGATTGTAGGATTAATTATGCTTTTAATAATTCCATTTTTGCAGTGCAAAGGCCATTTAGGCAGTACACTTCAAAAAGCATTTTTAAATGTGCCGTAACCACTTAAGTACAATAGAAATTGTGTATTTAATGACAGTTAGCAGGAAGCTAACTGCAATTTATTATTGTTGAAATGGTAAGTATCAGTTTGTTTTGACAAAACGTAGGCTACCAACAGTCATCATCAATGTGCTTGGCCAATAACAATACCCAGCAAAGCAGCCTGAGAAGTAAAAAGATATAGTTTCACAGGCAGAAACAAAGACTGCAAGTGAAAGTACCAAATGCACTGCTACAGATGTAACAGTCCACCATCCAGGGGACAGTATATTGAAGCAAAAATACCTCCCTGAATTGCAGTGCGTAGCCACGTTAGCATTTCAGACATATGAGGTCACAGTTATGGTTGGTCCTCATTGACAGTGGGTGGGAAAAGACGACTGCGTGACCCTGTATGCTCAATTAAGTGTACACAGTGGCTACCCATCAGGGATCTACAACTTAACCTTAAGCCGTACCCTAACTCTAACCCTACCCTTAACCTCAAACTCATCCTTAATCTTAACCCTAACCTTAACCTTGACTTTACTTGTTGCAGAATGTGCAGGGACTTGCTAATCAAGCAAAGGAAAGAGAGACAAGCTTTTTCATCAGATGTCAGACAGTGTAAATTAACAAAAAAAGTTCTTAGCTGCAGCTGAAGCCCAGTTACCCAAAGGCATAGGTTAAATGTTCTGCATGGTCACTCCACCTTTTAGCACTCATTTCATTCCAATTATTAATTATGAACTTCAGGGTTTGGCCTTACTCATGATATCAGTATATCTATTCTAAGGATAATGTCCTGATGCTGACAGTAACAAATCAGATGATGCTGTCCTCAGTCTGTCAGTCACTTCATGCTTCTTTTTACATGCACGGTGTAGCACAGTGGTAGGGTGCAGGGCTTGAAACCAAAAGGTTGCAGGTTCAATTCCCCACTGGGGCCCTGCTGCTGTACCCTTGGGCAAGGTACTTAATCCACAATTGCTTCAGTAAATATCCAGCTCTATGAATGTATGCCATTTAAAAATTATAACATATGTAAGTCACTCTGGATATAAGCATCTGCTAAAAGGCTGTAATGTAATATTAGCATCTAGCTGGTGTGGGGAAGGATGACTTTGACTCAAACAGCTTACCTGTTTGAGTGGTGTAACACAATGTCCTTCAAAGGCAGCATAGAAACCTCAAGTGCATCTCTTCTACAAATCATGTTGTACAATCTGTGATACATTACGCATGGTGGTTTGGAGGTCAACAGGCGGCTAAGATGCGCTTCTCGGCAACATGTTGATTCTGTTATTGTGGGCAGTTGTTCTGCAATTACAACAGGTGCACCATTCACGGTTGTGAAGGCAGAAGAAACAAAGGGCAAAGAACACTGTTTTTTTTTTCATGTGAACTCTTGAGATTCAACTCCAGGAGTGCTGATACAAGCTGTGACAAGCTGTCTAACCACTATTAGAGCATCCCTAGAGCATTTGATTATGACACACTGTCCCAATGACTTTGATTGGCTGTTCACAGTTTTTCTTTAATAAAGCATGTTATTATTAGTTTGATCAATTACTACACCTAAATGTAAAAAAAAAAACCAAAAAAACTCCTTTCTTTTTCATCAAGTAAAAGTATCATTGTCAACATTAGTCAACCAATGGCAAATAGTTTAAAAAAGAAAGAAAGAAGCAAAAAAAATTACACTAACATATTACACTGCAATTCACTGCAAAATATCAAACCAACAAAAACAGCAACATCAACAGAAAAAAAAAAAAAAATTCAATTCAATGTCAATTACCCATGGTGGTACCAAGGAGTGATTCCATACAGACAGACAGGGAGAATATGCCTGAAGGTTTCTCATCTGCCAGGCAACTTTCTACTTCGGTACAACCTTAAATCATTTCTCATCTGCAAGGCTATGCACAAAGAACACAGCAAGAAATGAAAAAAAGCCAGTATGACTTGCTTGCAAATGGTTATTAAACTGTCAAATTATTACAGTTGTTTTGAAGCTGGAGTAATAATATACCTCTCCTATGTTCACAAGTGTTATTAATTACTGTGATACCATGGTTATTTGCAATTTGCTTCAGAGTCCCACTTCCTTATGTGATGAAAAACAGATTGTTTCCAATGATTGAATTACTAGCAATACTCCATAAACTGGAGTACCATCTTCAGTTTCTAACATTTAAAGGAAAAAAAAATATTCACATGAGGAATTCTTACATTCATAAATTGACTTTTTAGAGTTAACTTTCTGAATAAAAAAAGCCTAGTGATGCAATTTAGCTAGCTAGCTTGCTATCGTTTTAGTGAAGTGTTGATGAGCCAACACGGACAACATGGGCAAGTTCATCACAGCTGGAAAGCAGCCATCATGCAGAAGCGTTATTTTGCAATTGCACATTATCATTCCCCTTTTCTGAATTATGAGAGTTTGGAAGGATAAACCAGTTTATCAGAAGTCAGAAACCAGAAATCAATCAAAACAAGTCTGGCTTAATTATTCTTAAGTCTGGATATATTTTATATGAGATCTTGTGAAAGCACTGCTGCATTGACCACTGTTCTCTCTCAACAAGCAAGTTGAGATTACATTACATTGTTGCCTAACTCTGTGTCAGACCAGGCTCCTGTCATTCAATGACAATGATTGTATGCATTGTAGTGGACAACCCATAAAAGGAGCTGCTTCATGCTTGCAAGACTACTTTGTGTAACTTTAGCCCCAAGACTGCATCAATCAAGCACAGAACAGGAAGTAGAATAGATAATTAAGCTCTGCATAATGTACAGATCTGAACCCTGTTGCAGTACAGGATATGCATTTTTAATGTATGTATGCTTTGATTTACATACTCTGTCAGTAGTATAGTGTAGTATAGCGTGGAACATACAAAATCTGATTTAGGATCTTGAAGGAGAGCCTTTAAGCCTCTGCTTTTCCCCAGAAAAACGTTTGTTGGTAGTGGTTAATTGTATTGTTAATGTTTGGGTAAATGAATGATAAGGATACTTGTCTAAATCAACAATCAACACCTGACGTAACTGATTCAATTCTGTCAGCCTCATGAAAAACATTGTGTGTGTGTGTTAATTGTGTGTGTAACTGTGTATGTGATTATAGCCTGATTATAATCTTACTGAATACAGGTGTGGCTGGAACTGAATCAGTTTTTTGGAGCAGTTTGTGTTGTGGGTTTTCTTGATGCTGGTCCCTGTCTTTTGTGTTTGTTTTTAACATAAATTATTCAATTTTAGCAGTGCTGTAACAATGATTGAAAACTTTGTACATGTGGCCATAGGCATAAAAAGTCTGCTGTTGTGAACATGGTGTGTGAGAAAAACATCAACCACCCAAAGGTAATTCACTGTAACTCAATATTTAACAACATCCTGAGTTTTAATTTGGCAACACTTGATTGCACCTGAAGGAAGGAATGAAATTCAAATGAAATCATACACAGTGTGCTATTTTAGGGGAACTGTGACCAGGTACAACAGTGCTGGTATTTTCTTTTCTATACTCTCCTCAGTCCTTCCTCTAAATCACACCAGATGCCCAAAGACTACAAGGGGCTCACAAAAATTAAAATTAAAATTATGTTAAATAATGCTGCTTATATGCAACCACTTGCAAGCGCAGTAAAATCCCAAAGTCTGCACTATATAGGAACAGCTAGCGCATGAAAGATTCGGGGGAGGGAGTGATTTGGAAGCAGCACTGCCATATAAAACAGATGGTTGACCTGCTCAAGCCTGGATTCAGCAGCAGGATCAGAGGCCTGCATCTCAGGAGAGCTTCTAAGTCTCAGAGATCCAATGATGCATGGGACTAACTGTAAAGCAGCCACTCCCAGGCATCTCGCAGTCCAGGGTGGGCCTTTCTGGTGTGGGCTGTTGTGGTACCTTCCCAATGCTAGAATCCCCCTCTCCAAGCCTCCTTTTTCCAGTCAGGAGTTAGTCTGTAGCTGTATGAGCCCCTGAGCAGCAGCTGGGACATTGTGAGGGAACATCATTATCCAGGCCCCAGCAGGGAACTGGCTCCTGGTTCACTGTCCTAAGGACAGTATTACTGGGAGATTTAAATTAGGTCAAACAAAGAATATATTTGATAATGTCAATACAGAGGAAATATGTGGGAGAAAGAGAGAGCAAGAGAAGGAGGGAAAGAGGCCTGTTCAGGATCCCCTCAGTGTGGATCAGGCTGAGCCAGTGGGCCAGGCTGACAGCAGATACTCTAACACCTGGTAGGCTGCAGATCTAGCAAAGCCTCTTAGCGAATTGGGGAGCTCACTGCAGGACGGGCCTCGAGGTGTTCGCAGTACATCTGTATTACAGAGCAGCCCTCGGGGTTGGCAGCCCATGGTGCCAAGGTGAGGCGGGGGCAGTGCCAGGGCCAGGCTGTGTCATTAGAGCCATGCTGAATGCTGTTGTGGGTTATGAGCAGGGCAATTATCTAATTTTCTCTTTGTCTGAATCGGTGCTAGGAGGGAATGCACTTTAAGTATAAACTACAAAGCATAAGTATGATTTCTTTTCTTTGTTTAAAAAAAAAAAAAAAAAAAAACTACAGGGATCCATGCACCTTAGGGAACTTTGAAATGAGCAGCTTTAAACAAATCTTTTGAGGAATCATTTCTAAGTATAAAACTCTTCCAAATAAGTAATGGAGAAGGGCAAACCAAGGTAGCAACTGTTCAAATCACTAGTGTTCTTTATTTGTTTTCATGTTCACATTACAGAAGGGGAAAATGGACCCATTGGATATTGAAGTTTGAAAATGCATTAACATAACATTGACTGCACTGCTAAAATAGTGTATTGTGGCCTATATATATATGTGAATGTTGGACAACCCCAGCATTCACCTTGGAAAAATTACACAGATACAAAGGAAATCCGGAGAAGGAGAATTCATATGTATGTATATATATGGCTGAGATGGGTAGATGGCTGATTCAACAGAATGAAATCTACCTCATATTAATAGACTTCTGCTATCTACCTGTGGTTGTGACACCTGAACAATAATAGTGAAGTCATTACTGTTCAGGTGTCGCTTGTTTCTGGGGATGGGGGTGGCACTGGGCTTGTTTAAAAAAGTAGTCCCAGGGGAGGGGCAGAGGTGATTATTACTGTGGACCCCTGCCTCTGAGCATCAGCTAAAATTGGTCGTTATGATCGTTAAATTTAATTGACAGGTGGCTGTGGTGAGACAAAAGCCACTTTCCTTCCGGCATTTCTAGGATTAGCATGGCACAATGTCCTTGCTGGTAATTCTTGAAGACAAATAGCACGGCTCCCCAGACACCTCCGGATGTTGGCAGGACGACTAGACTGATTAGCAGGGAAGTCGTAAAAGAAAAAAATCATTATGTTAGCCACTGGGAGTTTGTCCTCCATCCCCGTGTCCCCCCCTTCCCGCAAGGCCTGAGGGTGCGGCGGTGGGGGGTTATGGTTGGAGGGACAGGGTAGGCAGAGCGTTACCGCGTGAAACGAATGTGGAGAGAGGGAAATGGAGGGAATCTGTCGAGGCTGTGCAAAGAGGAGGGGAAAAAAAGAGGTGGTCAGCGAGAGGGAGCAGCATGCTGCTTTTACGATGTGGCTTGACCTGGACGAGTGGCCAATGGCTGGGGATATAGATTGATAGTGGGAGCCCAGCGAGATTCCTAGGTCCTCCGCTTCCGTGAGGCCCGCCGTGCCTTGGTGGCGCAGCGTGGTGGCACTTCCGGCGAGGCCCCCGCAGTGTGATGCACGACGCCGACGCCTCCAGTCTGACCCCGGCGGCCCCGGAGGCCCGCAGCGCACGCGCCATCAGGCACGGCTCAAAACAGTCGCACCCATCAATATCAATGAGCTCTTGCTTTTTCCTAAGTAGAAGTACAGATAGCGCTCCATTCATTTTGAAATGAGCTCCTGCATGGGAACTCTGGAC